GCTCCGGGACCGTGCGGCCGGCTGGCGCCGCTTGTCACCTGGCTCGAGTGCATCCACCCTTCGGGACCAGAAGAAAGTTTGTTTTCTTTCTTTTTTGCAAGTGTGGATCCGTTAACACTTTTCCTCTCAAACTCAAGCAGTCTGTAAGAAGATCCCTCCCCCTCCTCCCGGAAAACCCCGGAAAACCCTCAATTTTAAGATTTTCTTTAAAAAGGGTAGACTTAAAAAATAAATCACGGTAGAAGGGTTTCGTCACATTGTTTCTAGATCCTACTGTGAACTCAGGAATTCACAATGAAAGTTGAGCAATATTTTGTTGTTCATTCTTCGCTTTTTACACTCCATAATGAAGTTATTTTGAGAGTTTGTTGCTTCAGGCAAATAGAAAGTACAAAGCAGTTTGCCTTTTTTTTGGTTACTACCTCCCACCCCCTCACCCTGTTTTATTTTCAGAAAAAGCAGCTTATTCAGTTTTTCTGAACCGTTGAATGGACCAGAATAGGACAAATGCTTCAGTTCTTGAAAGGTCATTCTTTGCAAATGTGTAAAGGAGTTACGATTAGTTCCTGTAAATCAGAGTTACTGTTCTTGTCCTCATGGCCTCTTTGGGATTTGAGGACTACGTTAAGTACCAGCATTCTTAAATTTTGGGTGTACCTAGTCCACTAAATTTGTTTGGGCTTAGAGAATAATTCTGCTTAAATTACCTAGGTGCAACTAGGTTAATGTCTGTCTTCCATAGTGGAACAAAATGACCGGTGTCGTTTGTTGTTCGTGTGACTTGTAGCCCTTTGCCGTTGGTTAAAATTAGGAAATACTGTGTGCGATAGTTTGGTTCAATTTCTCGTACCAAGGGAGTCATATGGAGAAGTGGTCTTGGATTTTTCAGGTTTGCTCGGCCTCATTTAGCTTGAAAACCAGCTTTCTTCACTTGCTCAAGATAAAGGAAAATATTCTGAGGGCGTGGGCATTGAGGAGTCACAGGCTGCACTTTGGCTACCTTTTCTGGTTGTGTGGTTGTGTGTGTGTGTTGGGGGGCATTGTGAGGGAGGGAGGTAGAAGTTGGAAGGGTTTGTCAGGGAGGGATGTAATGTAAACAAATACTACTTACCATGTAATGTGACAAGTACACCAGTTGCTTTCTGTCTTCTGGCTGTGATAGTGTGTTATACATACTTTTGTTTTAGGGTTTCTCACAGTTCATGCATTTGCCTTGCTAAGTGGTAACTGTACTCCTAGTATAAATGGACTCCTTGGTCTTTTAACTCCTGGAGGCCTGTGATGGGCCTTATTTAGCTTCGGACCCTTTGCCAGAAGGTCGAGCATTGTGCAGGCATTCAGCATCTGTTTGAAGCGGGTGAAATGCTTTTTTAAAAACCGGCCAGTGGTGGTGCACGGAGAAGAGAGCCATTAACTGGGGATTTGTCCAGAGTGACTATTCATTGGCACAAATGTGGTGAAATTTAGTTTACTTTAAAAAGATTTTTAACCCTTCTTTTAATCTGATTTCTTCTTGCAAAGAAGTGGGGTTTAGATCGTTTGCTCCGGGTTTCAAAAAGAGATTGCAATTTAGAAATTCAAAGATCTGCTCCTTCGGTGAAATCATTAAATTAGAACTGCTGGACACACACATTCACAACTCTGCCTGTTCTTCCATTGTGAAATTGGCTGGTAGCATATTTTAAGAGGAAATGTACTCTTTGGAGCTAGGTAAATTTGAGTTCAAATTCTCGCATTTCCTTACTGGATTCGTCCGTAGCCTTGAACACTTAACCTCTCAGAGCTTCTGTTTCCTACTCTATAAGGGATTTTACTATGTTTTTACAGTGTTGTTAGAGGAGTAATTGAAACTAGGTGAGGTACTTTGTACAATTCCTTATTTAAGTGGCTGTTTTCTGGTAACTGTAGTGGTGATTTTGAAGCATTTTTACATGACTTAAAAAAATTCTTAAAAATGATCGTTGTAGAAGCCGGGTATCGTGGACCTTGCCTGAATCCCAGCACTCTGGAGGCTGAGGTAGAAAGATTGCTGTGAGTTCAAAGCCAGCCTGGACTGCACAGGGAAACCCTGTCTCAAAACAAAAACAAAAACAACCCCCCCCAAAACAAACAAAAAAACCCACGATGTTTCTGAGTGTAGTGGTTTAGCTACTTCAGTTTCATAAAGAAGGAATCCTGAAACTTGAGCCTTATTCATCTTTTAAGATTTAATTTTTTAGAGATGCCCTTTGAACCGAAGAATAATAGAAGCAAGAGTGGTTTATCCTCTAAATCACCTGTTAGTCTTCCTTTGCTTGGGACTTGTAGAATGGCTTAGGTGAGTAGGATTCTGTGTGATTGTAGATTGGGAAATGGTGATAGATGGACGGATTATTATCAATAATAGGATATCTGAGTTTTGTCAGCTTTTTGCTTTTTTTTAACCTTAGTCTTAAAAAAAGTGCCCATTATGACTACATTTCTCAAACTTAAGGTAGAACTGGACAGAACTGGGTGTAATGACACTTGGGAGGCTGAGGCAGGTGGAAGAGAGTTACATAGTAAGACCTTGTTTAAACACACACACACACACACACACACACACACACACACACATTCATACACTGAACCCCCACCACCACACCAAACCCAAACTAAAAAGATAGAACTGGATTGGGTGTTAACAGAGTGTTGGTGCAATGCACAGTGTACAGTCACTAGCAAATGTCTCACTTCCCCTTCAAGATAGTACTTTTGAAGGTGCTATGCTTTATAGAAGGAAGCAGTGATTTAAGTCAGATGTACCCATTCAGTTTAGAATACTTAGAATACCAAATAGAGGAGATACATTTTAGAACTCTTTTACCTGTAAAGGACCTTTCTGGATATTGGTCGAATGCACAGGGTGAAGGTACAAAATATCCCTGGTAAATCTACCTGAACAAATGTGGACTTTGATGCTGTTCTTGGAGAGTTAACATTTAAGTACAGTTGAATAGTCTTAATTTGTGGTTGCTGCTGATGGAGACAGGAATCCGTTTGGAAATTGTGCTTTCCCCATCAGGCTGTCTTACCACTGTAAATGGGGAGAGAGGAGGATGCTGTTAGTTTCATGTGCCTATTCTCAAGTCTGTAGTCTTTGAGTCAACCTTTGGGTTGATAGGGATGTAAGTAGAAGATGAAGTGATAACCCATTTTTGTCAGTCTTTGCTGAGAGGGTGGACTAGCAGACCTGGTGCTGTGATTGTCTTTTACCTCTTCAGAGCTGTGTGCGGTATTCAGGGAATGTGGATATCAGTATGTGTATGTGTGATGTGGATATTGGGATGGGAGAGAAGGAAAAGGTATCAAATGTTTACCATTTATGTCACTTTGTAGGCTCCTGCACTGGCAAAAAGTGTTTTGAATTTTTATTTTCTGATCATATCCTAAGCTCTTACTTGTCCATAGAGTTAATCGCTGCCACCCAAAATACCAAATATTCCCAAATGATTGGGAAATCAGTATGACACACTACAGTTACTTGGTCTTTTTAACTAAAAAGGTCAGGTGAGAAACAGGTCTGTGAAAGTTAGAAAAAGAGTGTTATGGAACCTAAGATGATAGGGAGCCACAGGATCTGACTTCACAGCCATACTGTGCCTTTATTGGTTATGTGGTCTTGAGTAAGCCATTTTATCTTAGTATCTTTATTAAATAAAATAAGAAATTAACATTCTTATCCTGTCTAATAAATACTACTATTGTGAGAAAAACATGAGGCGTATACACATGCTGTGTGGCAGTATAATTTCTTTGGTTGGCTGGATTTGGTTGGATAAAACTCAAGCAGTAATGTAAAAGGGGGAAAATATCCAACTAAGTACTCTTTTCTTTATAGAAGATAATTACAAGAGTATAGCATATTTCTGTTGCCATTCTTCTTGCTTGGGAAAGTTGGTATTTTTCTTTTTATTTTGGTTCTTTTCATTTCCTTTTACAGTATATTTATCATGGAGAATTTTTTAAAGTAAATGAATTTCAGTTCGTAGTGCTTGCTATTACACCCATGTTACTGTGAACTCACAGGAACTGACATTTGGTGCCAGTGCTTGAAGTCAGGTGAAACCACAATAGTGAACAAAGAATGTCAGACTATTTCAGAAGACTACAAAAGAGTTTACAGTTGTCTGATCTATGATTTTCATACTTAAAATTTAAAAATTGCTTTACTCAAGTCTGGGAAGTATACCTCTTATATGCCAGATGTTGCACTGTATTTTACCAGCATTTCCCTTTCTTAAATCCTTGGGGGAGAGATAATTAAACCATTTTAGGATCAGAAATCTGAAATCCTACAGTGGGTTGGCAGTGGCCATACAGCTAGTAGGTCATTGTTTGAAATTTGAATTTATTATTCTGGCACTAAAGGCCATGCTGTTCATATTGTTGATAATACCATCTAGAAAGAGTACATTTAAAAAATAAGAGGTATTATGAACTTAGTATGTACTCATTTAAAGTATATAGAGTTTCATGAGTTTTGACCAAATATACATGCTTGTAACTTAGCAGCACAATCAAGATTTAGAACATTGCTGTCATTTTCTAGAATGATACG